TGCTCTTTTGCTCCCTGGCTATAAACAGGTGAGCTGTGGACCCTGGAGGCCCATCATCATTGCCCACATGTTAATAGAAAAGATTAGCCAGCACTGCTCCCCCCGCGCCCCCCACCCCTCCTAGCCAGCCTGCATTGTACTCCACACTGTGGGAAATGGGCAGTAAAAACATTGACATCTCCCTTACCCTGGAATTCAAAGCACGCTGTAGTTAGCGATTCTGGTCCTGTAATTGTCAACATATTATTTTCATTTTCTGACAGATGGTGTTTGGTGTTTGAGCACATCCCGAAGGCTCCTTCAGTATTAAAGGAATCTGTTCTGATGTGTAGAATGTATTACAGACCATTGTTTTTGTTTCCAGGTTTATGCCTTTTTCCTGGATTAGAGCAAATGTATGTATGCAGCCTTCCCAGAGCCACCTTCCCTGTGTCCCTGCCCGATTGCTTTTCCCCCTCAGAAGCGGACAGAGGAATGTGTGGAATTCCCCATGCACCTTCGCTCCCATCTGATAAACACTGCAGGACTGTGGCAGGGCCTTGGGTGGGTGGGGGGGCGTGCATAAGCAGGACTGTACATGTACCCACTGCCACAAGAATGTGTACATATCCACATAGCTTGAGTTGTTGGTTGAGCGTAATGAAGACTATACCACAGTGTGACCGCAGATGGTTCCCCTGACAGAGTGAGCCACTGTGCTATTGTTTGACAGACGTCTCATGAATCCATCTTGTATTATTAGTACCCAATCATATCCTTTTTTGTTGACTGTTTTATTCCTCCACACCTTGTACACAAGGAACTATTGAGTCAGGATGCTGTTGGAGCAGAATTGGACTTTGTCCATTGTGGCTCCTACCCCCCCTGTCTGAAATGGAAAAGATTAGCCTGTGACTTGGCTTACCGTGCTCGTTTGCATTCTTAATGATTCTAACTCTGCCTGGACCAAACGTATCCAGGACTGACTAAGACTTGTAGTCCGTCCTCATGTCATGCGCAATGCTGCCCTCCTCAGGGGAAACGATGGAGGCAAGACAATTTCAGGAGCAACTTCAACCTTTATCCTTCTATGTCCTGCATTCATTAATACGTGTGTGTGTGTGTGTGTGTGTGTGTGTGTGTGTGTGTGTGTGTGTGTGTGTGTGTGTGTGTGTGTGTGTGTGTGTGTGTGTGTGTGTGTGTGTGTGTGTGTGTGAGTGTGTGTGTGTGGTGTGTGTGTGTGTGTGTGTGTGTGTGTGTGTGTGTGTGTGTGTGTGTGTGTGTGTGTGTGTGTGTGTGTGTGTGTGTGGTGTGTGTGTGTGTGTGTGTGTGTGTGTGTGTGTGTGTGTGTGTGTGTGTGTGTGTGTGTGTGTGTGTGTGTGTGTGTTGTGTGTGTGTGGTGTGTGTGTGTGTGTGTGTGTGTGTGTGGTGTGTGTGTGTGTGTGTGTGTGTTGCATGCTGCTTAGTCAAAAACTAAAAAAGGATGTGAGCTGTAAATTTGGGATTTAGAAATATTTCTTCCTGATGCTAAATTTAAAAGTGTGGCTGGCAGGTCTTCTCTAACGCGTTTGAATCTTTCCTTATCCTGATATAGAAATGGCAGAATTGAGTATGGTGCAACCCCCAATGATAGATACAGTAAGCTTCATCCATATTAGGGCTACAAGTAACATTAATAATACTAATGCTTAATCTACTGATTTGACTAACACATTATCACAATTATGTGAAGCCCATGTGACACCTTCAGATGACTGTTTGTCCTACTATCAGTGTAAAACCCAAAGATATTTAGTTTATAAGCAGCACATGCTATAGCCGGAACAGGAGAATGCTCGCTTGACATTTTTTATTTTATTATTTCATTTTATTTAGTTCATTATTGATATGACTTACGCGATACATTTTCTGTTCAGCATCTGATCGATTCAATTATTGATTGTTTCAGCTCTAATACATATATCTTCTTCAAAGCCCCTGTGTAGGGCAACTCTTGATCCCCATTTAAGTCACGTTCACTGACAATGAAGGGCTGAACAACACATATACACCACACATGTCACTGCGAATGTCCAATTCTTCTACAAACAAAAACACAATATATCTACCCGAAGCGGTATTAGAACACACTGTAGCTCTTTGTCTTCCAGCATGAATGAATACAGGCATACTGCATTAGACATTATCGTTTAAACAATGCATCTAGCTGTGCATGAGTCATGAACGTGATGTATATGTGTAGTATCAGCAGGTGGGAGAAGTGAGCAGATAGACCTTTTATAGTACAAGTTCCAAAGTCTCCAAGTCTTTTGGATGGCTTCCGGCAGTACGGCTGTCCTCTCTGTCAAGGCCATGAAAGACCTTCTAGGAATCCATTGCCATAATTAGTCTTTCCTGATCCTTTTTTTATTTTTCATTTGACAGCCTTTAAGATCTTTTATGCTACACGAGAAAATCTAAATCCTACACTGTGTTTTATATGACTGACCTTTGACCTATAACCAGTTGTGGTATCTTTTCTATGCGGGGTCTTTGTTTTATGAGCGACAAAGTCAACTTCAGTGAGACCTTGTTCAGCATGTCAGCACCAGGTGCAGATTATTTTGAGCTTGTCATGATATTTCAGCACATTTGCACAGACAGGGCAACTCGCTGAGCTTACCGCTTTAAATAGGCGTGTGTACATTTAAACATTTAGCTTCACGGTCAGGGTCTCGTTTTGCAGACTGTTGACTTGGATGAAGAGTGGTAGGAGAGACTAATGAGAGTCTCCAGTTTATCACACTTTACTTGTAACCTTATCCCAGCTCATCTGATTTGAACATATATTAGGTTGCAATTGTTCCCATTTGGAGCCAATTTAACACAAGACATACATTCTAACTTAATATAAAGTTACAATCCTGCTGGCCCTATTTATTTATAAATGCATATTTGAGGGTGAGAGTTATCTTATCCGGCAGTTTTTCAGTGTTTATGAGGTGCACTTCGAAGATACCAAAAATATAAAACCTGGAAATAAGTTTGCGTAATTACACCTTTTGGTTAGATGCCTGAAATAAGGTCTTTGGTTAACACAAGATTGTCACCTTTGTTCTACAACATAACAGATGTTGGTAAATGAATATCCCACATGTGAATTTTCAAGCAAAGTGGCTAAATGAGATGACATTACACACCGAATGCCAGTCCCCCTTAAGCCTGCTGTGGTTAACATCACGCCACAGTAGTATTATCTTTATAACCTACGCTGAATGAATAAAAACTATTTAAATATTGTTGAAGTTTGTTTGCCACAGAGTTTATTCTCTGCAACTATCCAATATCAAATGAAAAAATCCCATTGGGTTATCTAGCACAGGCGCTAAGCTAACTCCTAGGTTGGCCTACAACAATACGTCATCCCTGCAGCACTCAATGTACTGTCACCCAATTTTGGCTCTGAAACCACTCCCCCCAGTAGACTGGCAACATGCTGTCACACTGTTTCTCACACCATCTTTGTCTGTGCTGCTGTCTGCTTCACACACACACACACACACACACACACACACACACACACACACACACACACACACACACACACACACACACACACACACACACACACACACACACACACACACACACACACATTCTGTTTGGAAGATATTACAGATACGAAGCAATAATGTGAGTACAAAAAATAGCTTTAGTTTTTTACCTGGATAACTGGGATTTGCTTTATTCTTGTGATGTTTTTATGTTTACATGATGTATCCAGTCTATCGTAAGCCTGAGAGGGTCACTTAATTATCCAGATATACTGATATATACATATGTTTTTTTTATGGTTACATACATCAAACAGATTTCAAATGTAAGGCAACCATTTTTTACTAATTGATATTTTTGGCAGCCTGTTTATAGATCTGAGCAACCATCTGGTTACTTTTTTCGAGCCTGAATCTCTGCTGATCTAAGTTTCAAAGTGCAGAGATCTCATGAAACGGACTGTATCTGTGCCAAGCCTCTGTAGTGTAACAGTATGCAGGCGGGCGATTGCGGTCTATTCTGGACGGGTTGAGGATGGATGGATAGTGTGATGTAAGAGTCTATTTTGCTTCACATCCCCCCCCCCCCCCCAAACCCAGGCCTAGATTCAGAAACACTCTGTCACTTGTTGTTCTTATCAGACTCTCTTGTTAAGTTCACACTGATTCTCACGGGACTATTTGAAGAAATTCTTCGGGGGTCAATGATGTTAATGTTTAGTTTTTTTTACTTGCCCTATAAACCCTTTTTTTTTTTTTTTTGGCCTTTGTCTCTCTTTTTGTTCTATGTACATTGCCCATTTTTACAGTTCAGAGAGACATGTTTTTTTCTGAACCAACATTAAATTCATCTTCTTGTTGAGTCCTGAATAATTTACACAGGTATAAGATTTAGAAATGACGGATGAAGCTCACAGACAGGGAGCTCTCACTGTCAGCAGGGTCGTATTTTGAGTGTGTAGTGTACTGATGGTAAAAGTATGTTGGGGATTTCCGAGGGATATTTCATGAATCCTAATGTGTTCATGTATGAAGTTTGGCTCGGTGATGCAGTGTGCCATGCTGTGATGGTGACAGGTCCTAACCTTTCTGTTGAACGATCGTTGCTGAGGAAAAGCTTTTTTTAGAGACAAGTTGGAATGAGAGATTGACTCAGACAGGCTGCCATTGTCATTTTACAGCCAACACCACAGTCGGTAGTCGCCTCAGAGCTTCCAACAACACCAATAAAGAATGAATTGGTCTCCAGCACAACCATGTTCGCAGGTTGAAGTATGTCACAAACAGTTCAGGATAGTTTTCCTCTGGCAAGCTCCAATACCATGAAGACTGTTTGTGATTTTGCTTTATAAATTAAATTAAGAAATACAAGTATGCGTAGTTATTTGACCAGCATCATGGTAATTGGGACCTAATGTGTATTTTCGTGGTACGTTATTTCTCCTAGTTGTAAGTATACCTTGCAACAAAACCTTTCTAATCTTTCAGACGCGTTGCTGGCGGACCTGGAATCCACTACGTCTTACATCGCAAAGCGTCCGGTGTTCTTTCCTGAGGAGACTCCCTACTCCATCCCCACCGGAGGACACTCCTACCAGGATGTGTCTGTTCCACCTCCAGTCCCTCCGCCACCCTCAGCCGAGGCTCTGAACGGGTCCCTGATCGATCAGCAGGACTCCCCCCACTCCTCTCAACATGTAGGTCTCTATAGTAGAAACTATCTTTCTCCATGAAGTTTTTAACAAACAGGATTGTTTAAAGTGAAGTGCTTAACAAGCACGAGAGGAAGTGACATAACACAAGATAAGATTTTGTAGATGTGGGGAAAATGTAGTAAAAAGGAGTATGATTTTTGTCTGCTATATAAAAGATGCAATTTTCTTTGCCGAAGTCTGACCTTATGGTCTGAATACATCACTGGCCACTTTTAAAGCCGATAAGCAGGTCGGTGTTGAAGTTGATGAATCAAGTGAGAACGAACCATTGAATGCTTGTACATTTGACAGGCACAAAACGCAACCAGGATGTTCAGTTTACACCGTTAACAGCTCGTTTGTCAGTCTGTATGACAGATGTGTCCTCTGCAGTCATTAGGTTCAGCCCAGAAGAGCTGGTCCAGGGACAGCAGCAGCCCTTCATTGTCTCACATTGAAGAGGACCACGTGTACAGGTAACATTTGCACGCTTGAATGCTTTTGTGTATAGAATTGTGTGTATCCTCTGTCATTCTCTTTCAGCTGTAGCTACCATAAACAGTTGTTTGTCTGTCTCCTCTTTAGTTTTCCAAACAAACAGAAGTCCTCGGACTCGTCGACAGCAGCCATGACCTCTGCCATGGGCAGTAACCTGTCCGAGCTCGACAGGCTGCTGCTGGAACTCAACGCGGTGCAACAGAGCTCCCCTTCATTCCCCACCACAGGTAAACACAGACGCCCTCGGCTTTATCACTTCTGTTTGTAGTGAGCAGGATTAATTGTGCTGTCATGTGTCCACAGAAGAGGCCGCTCCACCCTTACCGTCCTGCAGCATCACGCACTACGAGAACGGCGGCGCCCCTGATATCAGGGTGAGCCCTCCCCTTCAGGAGAAACCCAAGAGGAACGGCACGAGGCTGGAGGAGGCCCGACCCAGCATGGAGAGTCTGCTGGACGAGCTGGAGGGCTCAGTGCCTTCACCCAGGTACACTCTTCACTCTTAGGGCCTGAGTCCACAGAGTGCCTTCATCTGGCAGAAAGGAGCTGGATAGAGCCTCCTTCCAGCGTTTCATGAAGAAGACCTTTGGGCACTTTTTTATTGTTTCTATGAAACATATATCTCGTCAAACTGTGACAGTAGTTGTAAGAAGGACTAGTATTGCCCCCCTGGATTTGATCATCTGTATGTGCTAGGCAAGGCAAGTTTATTCAACACCAGGCAATTCAAGGTGCTTTACAAAAATGAAAGACATTCAGACAAAGGCATTTAAAAAAATATATAATAAAAGAAACATTAAAAAAAAAAATACATGAATAAAAAGTACATGAATAAAAAGTTGCAGTGCAGTTTAAGATATGAATAGTTCACACAGAAGTTCCACTTTACTGATGAACACAACGGCTCAGTTTCAATTAAAAGCAGCGACAAAAAGACAAGTCTTCAGCCTGGATTTAAAAGTAGTCAGAGTTGCAGCGGACCTGCAGGTTTCTGGGAGTTTGTTCCAGATGTTTGGAGCATAATAACTGAACGTTGCTTTACCATGTTTAGTTCTGACTCTGGGGACAGAACGCTGACCAGTCCCTGAAGACCTGAGAGATCTGGATGGTTCCTAATTTAGCAGTAGATCAGACATTTATTTTGGGCCTAAACCATTCAAAGCTTTATAAACCAGCAGCAGTATTTTGAAATCTATTCTTTGACACACAGGAAGCCAGTGTAAAGACTTCAGAACAGGAGTGATGTGATCCACTTTCTTATGCCCCTTTCACACCAGCGCTTTTTCAGCTCCGGCTCGGAGCTGGAGCCTGAAAAGCGCCGGTTTTTCCTGTTCACACCGCAGCGGCGCCGGCTCTTAGCTCCGGAATCCGGTTCACTTCCAGCTCCAAAAAATTGTCTGTCTAGAGGCAAGAGCTTCGGAGCTAAGAGGTGGCGTCGCTTACGTCTCTCTTACGTCGAGGCGTGCAGGAAACTAAACCCACCTCCCCTGAACATGGGTCGACTGTCATGCCTGCCTACAAGCAGTAGTGCTTATAAACACACTTTATAAAGTCAGGCAACACTAACCAGGCTTCGTGTGATTCTGTTTATTTGTACCTTACTTTGACCATCCGTTCACTGTTATTGATCATTGTGGAGAGAGGCAGACGTGTTGTTTGTATTATAGCAGCTATCGGATGGAATCAATACATGGGCTGCACAGGTTGTCGTGTCCGACTATCACAAGTAGAATCATAATAAAAATACGCCGGTAAAATGTGCCTGTAGAAAACGGTTTATGCCACAATAGGATAGCAATAGCAAGTAGTCAGTTTAGCTTCGGTTGCTATGCTAACATCACCCATTATATACCAGAGAAACTTTCATAACAGCGTTGTGATGCCAAACAGCGTCAATTCAGACTGACACACATTCACTTAGGCTAAGGGGAACTGGGGATATGTATCAGCTGCTTGTGTGAGTCGGACAGTGAATACTTTAGAGCGGCCGCTGCAATGTGAGCTAACCGGGAGCTAACGGAGGAGAATAAACTCCTGTAGAAGAGCAGCCAACACTGCAGCGGTCGGTAAATGCTGCAGAAACACATTAATAAACAATGAACCACGGCACTCTGGAGCAAAGTATAAGGTTGGAGAAGTCGTTATTCAATTTATTCTGGCTTCGTGTGATTAAAAGCAACACGATCATCGACCCGACGCAGTTCCCCGTTGTTGTTGTGAGCGTCGTAATGCCGTTGGGGAGCAAATCAGCGATGTAAACGGTGACGTCATGACGCAGCAGCGGCAGCACCAATCGGGTGCTGGGCGGTGTGAAACAGAGCGGGAGCAGAAAAGGGAAACCGGAGCTCAACCAGAAAAGCTCTAGCTCGGAGCTAGAAAGGGATAAGCGCTGGTGTGAACGCCGCGTTAGTGTCAGTGAGGACTCGAGCAGCAGCGTTCTGAATCAGCTGCAGCTTTCTAATAGATTTTTTAGTGAGACCTGTGAAGACACCATTGCAGTAGTCCAGTCTACTGAAGATAAAAGCATGGACAAGTTTTTCCAAATCCTGCTGTGACATTAGTCTTTTAATCCTAGATATGTTCTTTAGGTGATAGTAGGCTGATTTAGTAATTGTTTTAATGTGACTGTTGAAACTCAGGTCAGAGTCCATGACTACACCTAGATTTCTGGCTTTATCTGTTGTTTTGAACATTGCAGGCTGATGCTCAGCGCTAACTTTTATACGTTCTGCCTTGGCTCCAAAAACCATTACCTCAGTTTTGTCTTTGTTTAATTGGAGAAAGTTCTGACACATCCAGTCATTGATTTGTTCAATGCACTTACTCAGTGTTTTAACTAGAGAATAGTCTCCTGGTGAAATGGTTATGTAAATTTGTGTGTCATCCGCATAGCTATGGTAACTTATTTTTGTTGTTTTTCATTATCTGAGCCAGTGGTAGCATATAGATGTTAAAGAGAAGAGGCCCCAAGATGGAGCCTTGAGGAACCCCACATGTCATATTTGTCAACTCAGATGTGTATTTACCTATAGAAACAAAGTTGTTTCTGTCCTTTAAGTAGGATTCAAACCAATTTAGAACTGTTGCCGAAAGTCCCACCCAGTTTTCCAGTCTGTCTAGTAATATGTTGTGGTCAACAGTGTCAAACGCAGCACTGAGATCTAATAATACTAACACTGAAGTTCTGCCACTGTCTGTGTGTAATGCCCCTTTCACACCAACGCTTTTCAGCTCCGGCTCGGAGCTGGAGCCTGGAAAGTACCGGTTTTTCCTGTTCACACCGCAGAGGCGCCGCCTCTTAGCTCCGGAATCCGGTTCACTTCCAGCTCCAAAAAATTGTCGGTCTAGAGGCAAGAGCTTCGGAGCTAAGAGGCGGCGTCGCTTACGTCTCTCTTACGTCGAGGCGGGGGCAGGGGCAGATTCGTCGTTGAAGTAGATGCTGAAGACCACAAAGAAGTCTTGCATTTCGCATGTGATGTTTGTAAAGTTCCAAGTAAAGTCGTCCCTTGTAAAGTCGTCCGATGCCTTCCATTTCGTTTCGTAAGAGGATAACCAAAGCGAACAGCGCTTCAATACAATCGGCCATTGTTGTTGTTGTCGATGTGAGGGATATCCGCGTGGTTTGGATTTTATGAAGCAGGCACGTAAACGGTGACGTCATGACGCAGCAGCGGCAGCTCTGGGCGGTGTGAACAGAGCGGGAGCAGAAAAGGGAAACCGGAGCTGAACCAGAAAAGCTCCCGCTCGGATCTAGAAAGGGAAAAGCGCTGGTGTGAAAGCTGCATGAGTGGATGTCATTGATTGAAGACCTTTACAAGAGCAGTCTCAGTGCTGTGGTTTGGACGAAAGCCTGACTGGAACACATCCAAACTGTTATTTAAATGCAAGAAATTACTCAGCTGTTGAAAAACTACTCTTTCAATGATTTTACCTAGAAATGGGAGGTTTGATATGGGCCTGTAATTGTTCATTACTGAAGCGTCTAGATTATGCTTTTTTAAGAGCGGTTTAATGACTGCAGTTTTCAGGGCCTGTGGAAAAACACCTGAGTGAAGAGACTTGTTTACTATATGAAGTAGATCTGAGGCCATGCAAGGAAAAAAATGTTTGCAAAACCCTGTTGGAATAATATCAAGGCAGCAGGAGGAGGATTTCAGAAGTTGTATAATGTCCTCTAGGTTTTTATCATTAATCTGATGGAATTGTGTCATGGTGTTTGAATTGATTTTAAGTGAACACAGAGACAAAACATTTGCTGTACCTGATGCAGAGGCACTGACTGCTTGTCTGATTTTCTGAATTTTGTCAGTGAAGAAGGAGGCAAATGTATTACACGCCCTGGTGGATAGAAATTCAGAGGCTACTGACACTGGGGGGTTAGTTAGTCTGTCGACGGTAGAAAACAAGTCACGTGCGTTGTTTTTGGCAATAATATCAGAGAAGAAAGACTGTCGTGCGTTTTTCAATTCCAAATTATAAAGGCCAAGTCTCTCTTTATAGATTTCAAAATGAACCTGGAGATTTGTTTTTCGCCACCTACGTTCAGCTTTTCGACACTCTCTTTTTTTCGGCTCTCACGGTCATGGCCTTTCTCCATGGAGATATTTTCTTGCCAGTCACTTCCTTTACCTTAGTTGGAGCAATGGCATCTATAACATTTTTAATTTTTGAATTAAAATGATCTACTAGCTCATTTACTGAGATGTTAGCAGTGTGGAAGAAAAATTCTGAGTAAACATTTTCAGTTAAATATCGCTTTGTGGTTACCTCTTTTTGAACATTTTTGTGAACAGAAATAGAGCTCTCAAAGAAAACACAGGAATGATCAGAGAGTGCAACATCAGTCACCACAACCTTAGAGATATTCAGACCCTTTGAGATAATTAAGTCCAGAGTGTGCCCCTTATTGTGCTTGGGCTCCGTCACATGCTGAGTCAGTCCATAGTTATCAAGAACACAAAACAGTTCTTTAGCCCCTGTGTCCTGGGGGTTGTCAACATGGATGTTAAAATAACCAACAATGACTAGACGGTCAAAGTCAATACACACTATAGACAGCAGTTCAGTAAAGTCATCAAAAAAGCTTGCACAGTATTTGGGTGGTCTATAGATATTTAGGAACAGAGCTCGAGAGGAGCATTTCAGCTGAAGGGCCACATATTCAAAAGAAGCAAAGTTCCCATAAGATGTCTTCCTGCATTGAAGGGAATCATTGAACAGAATAGCAACTCCACCCCCTTTCTTATGCATTCTTTTCTGACTCATAAAATTAAAGTTGGGGAGGGGTTGATTCGATAAGAACAGCTGCACTGTTATTTTGTTCAATCCATGTTTCCGTTAAAAACATAAAATCGAGATTGTGCTCAGTGATAAAATCATTGATTAAAAATGTTTTTCCTGCCAAAGACCTGACATTTAATAAAGCTAGTTTAAGTTTGTTAAACACACTATCAGTCAGATTTTTTGTGGCAAGCTGTGGCTGACATGGAATCACTTCTAAATTGGATAAACTCACACAAACTTTGAGCGCTTCCTGTGTCTAAGCTGATTCACCGCTCTTAATCTATTACCTATCAACACAGATATCGGCAAAGCTACCGGCAAAGCTACCGGCAAAGCTACCGGCAAAGCTACCGGCAGGCAGGGCCCCAGCATGTCCTGGAAAGAGTTGAGAGTGCCATACACCCTTGAGCCTGGACCCAGCATATATCAGTCAGTGTTTGCGTTTTTTACACACACATTCTTATCAGGCTTCGGAGACAGCAGTCTTGAAGGGGGGGAGGAAGTTTTGGTCCGGATGATTGTGGTAGGCATGGTGACGGGGGTGTTGGTGCACGTCCAGGGGGAGGAGGTGGTTGACGTAGGCACGGTGACGAAGACGGTGCTACTATATATTTGTTTGACATTATTTTTTCACCATGAGAAACACGTTTGCTCTGAGACCTTGTATGAATGAGCTTCACTGCTCAGTCTGACAGCTGTAAAGCAAGGGAGGAGGACGATCAACATACGGAGATAAAAGTCACATTGGCAGCAACACCCAACAAACGGGCTGTTCTGTTTACAATGTGCTCACTCCTGATTGGAAACATTTGGAAAAAGATGCTGGTGCTGGAAAAAGAGGCAATATTTGGACATGGGCCCTAACTTGGCATGTGTTTATATAAAAGTAGGGATGTCTCAAGTCCTGATCCGATACTTCTTATGATACAGATGCATAGTGCAACTACATTAATGTTTTGTATCAAAATCAATCTGCATTCCTTCAGTTGCTGTGCATGAAAGCTTTGCTTGGATGTTGAAAACAAAAAAGGATGGGTTCTGGCTCTTTGTAGGCCATATCAATCAGTTGGAAAAATACTTTTATGGGCGCCGCGACCAATCTTTGAGATTGGACCGGAACATCCAATTTCATTTATGAAAGCTGTAGAAAGGGAAAGTTATTATGTTTTGAAGTGAGGTTATATGAGGTACTTGTCCATAGTCGGTGTAATACCTAGAGCAGATGGCAGTTGGAGTTACTGCAGAGGAGTTAAGCAATGTCCTTCTGTGGACCGGGGCAGCACCAAAACATTTTTCAGCCCCCTAAAAAAGTCAATCTCAGTTAGGTGTACTCTATATTTACAAAATGTACACCACTTTAACTTGCCGGCAGCCCTTTTCTAACATTATATCCACATATGCACCAGACTCCTTTGACCAAAACAGTCAGTTCTTGTCTTTCTGCAGTACTTAGCCAGTGTTTGTTTTTCCTCTTAATACATTGATTATGCATTGCCTGCACCAAAGGTAAACAAACCTGAGACTGATTCTAATCTTCGACAATAGATATTTTGAGTGCTGCTTTTACTAAGGCTTTGTTGTTTTGATGTGTTTACAAATCATCACAATTTGTATTTTACAGTTGCTCTGCCCGCCACAGTGATTTGGACACACCCTCTCAGCAGCAAGCCAGAATTTCAGCTTCCTGTGCAACAAGAGAGCTAGACGAGCTGATGGCTTCTCTGTCTGACTTTAAGGTACAAAGCCGCATGAGTGAACACCTTATCAACAAACCCTTCTCCTGTCCTCTCCCTCTTACCTTTGTTCTTCTTCTCTGTCCTTCAGCCCAGTTCTTTGGGCTCTCTGCTGGATCCAGCTTCTTCCACCTCTCCTCATCCTCCAGTTTCTTCCTCCGTCACCCCAGTGGCTTCTCCTTTTCCTAGCCTGTCCCACCCGTCTACCTGTGCCTCTCCTCTTTTCTCTTCACCTGCTGGTTTTGAGCTGCACATAGACGAGGACGGAGGAGACGGTGGCATGTCGATAAATCGTTTCTCTCGCCACAGTCCTATATCCTCTCTTTCTGCAGCCAGTGACTTAGACCAGGACTCTATCATAGACGTCTCTGCCTCCATGCTGTCCTCCCAAACCAAGTCCCTGCTAGTCCTCTCTCAGGCCCCTTCCTCTAACTCCAACCTTATGAGAAATAGCCCAAGTCCTTCCAACACCACCACCACCCCTTCCTTTACCTCTGTTAACACTGTCCTGGACCACAAGTCCTCCAAGTCCCCCAGTCCGTCTGTAGAGCAGGTCTCGCCCTCAAATACTGTCGGTCAATTCCCTTCTTCTCCTGCGCCTACGAGCAAGGAGGGTCCTTCATTTCAAGATATCGTTTTGAATTTCTCCACTCCACCTCCTGTCAAAAACGTCACCCCTTCTCCCTCAGCTCAAAAGACTCCTTCACCCATCCCAGTCGCTGCACATGCTTACTCAAAAACATCCTCGCCATCTCCAGTTTCTCAATATAAGGCCCCCTCTGCACCGGCCTTCAAAAGCCCCAGCAGCCCCTTCCCTGCACAGCCCCCCTCGATGGGGGATCCCTCCCTGGACGAGGCACTGGACAAGCTGCTAGCCATGAGTTTTGCACAGAATAACTCGCAGGTGGAGGAGCTAAAGATGGACGCACAGTGTCTCGAGGTGCAGGAGGAGCTCATCCTGCCCTTGGACAGGAACAGCGTGCAGCCTGAGACTTTCACCAGCGCCACCAACACCATCATCACAGACGGCTCTTTGGACGGAGGCACTAACGGGGATGGAGATCTGGATTGGGCGGATGAGGAGTTTTCCATGTCCTTCCACGACGGGCTGGACGGCACCATGACGCCTTTCACCGAGAGGCCGTACACAGATGGCAGCATGACCCCGCTGACAGAGGCCAGCTGGATGGATGGCTCCATGACCCCGTCTACATGCCCCGGGACCCCCGACGTGGCCCTGGACCTGCCCCTCATGCAGACGCCCACTATAGACAGAGTGTCTGCTTCCGGACATGTATGCATCTCCACTCCTGCCTGACACCACATGGGCTTGTTTTGCTCACATTGTTTTGCTTTAGAGTGTGAAGCTCCCCCTGCTTCAAGGGTTTTTCTTTTTGAAAAGCTGAAACATGATCCAGAATATTTATCTACGTGTCCTTTTTACACAGAGAAGGGAATTGTTATGCAATATTATATCATATTTCAATAATGGATTATTCTTAAGTTCTGGTGTATAGCAAAAAATAACTTTGTTCAGTTTATTTTTGGTCAAAAAACCCGTATCCGGCTTCCATTGTTTACTCTTAGTTTCTATTTTATTGTCATAGATAATTGATTGATTAAAAAAAATAAACTTTCGCCTTACTATTGAGCATCATCAATAGCAATAGATAAACATTGATCTGGGCAGAAACCGTATCATGTTTGAGCTTCGCAAAAAAGGAAGGAAAGGATATATATGAATATTGATAGTCAAAACAAAGCTGATGGAGTACAAGCTAGCTCAGAAGACCCTCTGTGTAGTGACAGTTATTGCTTTGAAACTGCACTTATAAATAACCCACTGATTGACAGGACAGCACTACTCAGCATGACACTGTTGCACCAGTTGTGTGTGAAGGACCTAACACGCCCTGCTGTGGTTGTTTGAGTGACTACAAAGGCTGGAAAAGATTTGATCGGTAAGGGCTTTTTTATTGTTGAAGGCATGCAAGAGGTGCATGAAGTGTGACTCTGAGCTCACTGACCACAGCATCGGCCTATCAGGGATTTAAATCAGCATTTGCCTCACCCGCTGCCTCCGAGCTCTGCTGTAGCTGCTTCATGTTTGGTGTGGACGTTTTGGTAAAGTGCTCACCATTCCCTCCCAGATAAAGTCAGTGATTAGGCGCACTAAGGAGACTCCCAACGTCCACCCCATGTTCCGAGACGGTCACCTGCGCAGGAAGGTGGGACCCGTCATTGTAAACAAGAGCACTTCTCAGGACCGCCTCATCGAGGAGCTTCAGGGAAAGTTTGGTATTGGTCGCTCAGAGCGCCGGCGTAAACAGTCCGACGAGTGGATGACGGATGGCGTCATCGTATCGTCCAAACCTCAGCGTTTCCGTCCCGAGGGGGCGGGCAGCGAGGTGGACAAGGTTGGCTTCAGTGTGCCGAACCACAAATATTTCACAATGAATTCACCTTTTAGTTTTCTACACACTTTGCTCTCTGTGTTCCCTCCTTCTCTGTTTTTCTCTATTCTCAGATCATATTTCACCTAGAGTCGCCTGTCCCTGTGAGGAAGGTGCTCCCCCCTCCCTCCCCCCCCGGCCCCCGCCGCCCTCCTATCATAGTAGAACCCAAGCGACCATTCATAGTACACCAGCCGCCTTTCCCTATCCCTCCACCACTCCCTCCACCTCCTCCCCATCTCCGCGAACCAGAACCTCCACCAGCCCCAATTCGGGAACCTCCTGCTCCCAAACCAGAGCCCCCTCCACGTGTTATTAAAAGCCCACCCCCCCCTTCACCTGTGAAGCCGGTCACACCGATTCCACCCAAAGTCCTGGTGTCAGTAGGCTGTCAAACTGAGTATGACCCAATCTTCCCTCCAATGCAGGCATGAACCCCCCTCTCTTACCCCTTCTTCTTATTTCCACTTTTGAACTGTTTAACCGTAGTTACCTCAAACATATTTTAGTGATGTTCCTGTGTGTATCAGTCTTCATAATTGAACCGTTTCAGATTATGGCCCAGGGGAAGGGTGGTGTTCCTGGTGGTCCTCCGACGCAGGTCAACAAGCTGGACAACATGCTGGGCAGCCTGCAGTCGGACCTCAACAAACTGGGCGTGCAGACGGTGGCTAAAGGGGTCTGCGGAGCCTGCTGCAAGCCAATTGTGGGACAGGTAAGCTGCGGTTTGGATTTGACAAATAATACAAACAAGTTATTTGTATAAACATATTTAGAGTTTGCATAGTAGGGCTGTACAGAAGCTTCTATTAAGGTTTTGAAATAAAGCTTATAATCTGTCATCATATTTGTGGTTATAAAAATGATATATAATATAATATTGCTCCTGGACGTCCCTTTTCAAATAGATGAAATAGACACCCTTTGTGTAGCATATGAGAGAGCAAACTGTTTTTGGACCACAGTTAAAACACAGTTTAAAGTGGATTGAAGCTGAATATTTAATTAAAGTAACATATCTGTTGAATTTTGAAAATGACTACTTCTATATTTCCTCAATAAATGTGACTTTTGGATTTAAAAACAACTTTACAAGTTATGGAAAATGTTTGGTTTACATGAGCATCCTAAAAAGCCACCACTGGAATATTATTCTACAAATAATGTCATACTTAAAATATTCATGACGTCTGTAGTTATCTTGATCTGTAACTGTGCAGAAATATTGGGTTTAAAACAAAAAAAAAATAGACATACAAAAAATATTTAGAATTGTCAACGGTATTGTTGGTTTCAGATAGGGCTGCAAAATATCATGATTATTTTGGTCAATAATTGATATCACGATTATTAAATACGATTATTCAATAACTAAAACATCCATTTATTGAACTTTAAAACAAATACAAATAATAATTTGAACAGTATCTTTTTAACTATTGATTACCCTGAACGTATTATTCAACTGAAAAACCAATATTAAAATAGATAAAATAAACGATACATTTATTTTTAAATTTAAATAAATAATATCAAAGTAATAAATACCAATAAACAAGATCAACAAATACTTTGGAGCGCACATTCACAAGCTACTAAACATATATTAATATGATAAATAAAAATAAATTAGACCAAAACACTGTCACAACCTAGCAAAGCAAAATAATTGTTTTTTTCGATTATGTTATTTTCGTAATTGTGGCAGGCCAAAATCGTAATTGCGATTTAAAATACGATTAATTGCCCAGCCCTAGTTTCAGCCCTAATTCACAATCCACTCTCCTGTTGGTGCAGGTGGTGACCGCCATGGGGCGCACATGGCACCCTGAACACTTTGTGTGCACTCACTGTCAAGAGGAGATCGGCTCCAGGAACTTCTTTGAGCGTGAAGGATTGCCGTACTGCGAGACGGATTACCACAACCTGTTCTCCCCACGCTGCCACTACTGCAACGGGCCCATCCTCGATGTGAGTCCCTGCTGTGTTCACATGTGCTCATTTCTCTTTGGAGATTACAGTCATCCAACAAAACATGTTGTCGTCTCTTTTCAGAAAGTTGTGACGGCGCTGGATAGGACATGGCATCCCGAACACTTCTTCTGCGCTCAGTGTGGATCCTTCTTTGGCCCAGAAGGTACTGGCATTTATTTTTGGAGTTATATGTACAGTACATAAATAGTAGTACAAAGGATTAAGATGTGTTGTCTGATTCTGTTCCTCCTTTAAAGGCTTTCATGAAAAGGACGGGAAAGCCTTTTGCAGGAAGGACTACTTTGACATGTTTGCACCAAAATGTGGCGGCTGTGCCAGAGCCATTTTGGAGAACTACATCTCAGCGCTGAACAGCCTTTGGCATCCTGAGTGTTTTGTTTGCAGGGTGTGTATCTTTTATTCCTCTCATTCTGGTGTGTTTTCATGAGTGTAGCTGGAGTGCCTCTAAAGACGTTGTACAGTGATCAAGAGCTTATATGGATCAAAAAGCGTGTACACTGATCTGATGATTCAAATATTATTTTATTTACAGCAGGTACTTCAGTGTATTTTAATTATACACAGCAAGCACAATACTTGAGTAAATCCTTTTAATAATTTCCATTTAATAGTTATACTTCTGTATTATTTTGTATAAATATACAAATGTAAATGTCATGGTAATCTGCATTAGAAACGGAGACAACAATTATAATAATGCGTTTATAGTGATCAATTTGATCCCGACCTACATGGTCACAAACGTTTCATGCGGAAAAAAAGTCCTAAAGGCTTTGAAATCATTAATGAGAAGACCAGGTTAATGGTATTAAAGCATCTTAAAAATGTACTCAAAATACTTGGGAAATAGGATTTTATAAATCGTAAAACAATCAATAACGTCTTATTTTTTTAACCATTTAAAGAATGCCTCTCACAGTAATGTCACATAACTAGGGACAGCGGTATCGTCAAGACTCTTAGAAACCCTGTTTCTAAAAGATGTTTCCACTGTAACAATAATAATAACAATAGTATGTGAATAACGGCATGTTCCTCGGCCCTCTGTTATCTTTCTCAGGAGTGCTTCACCCCGTTTGTGAACGGCAGTTTCTTCGAGCATGACGGCCAGCCGTACTGTGAAGTGCACTACCACGAGCGGCGCGGCTCGCTCTGCTCCGGCTGCCAGAAGCCGATCACGGGGCGCTGCATCACCGCCATGGCTAAGAAGTTCCACCCGGAGCACTTTGTCTGCGCCTTCTGCCTGAAGCAGCTCAACAAAGGCACCTTCAAAGAACAGAACGACAAACCCTACTGCCACGGCTGCTTCGTCAAGCTGTTCAGTTAGAGAGCGAGAGGGAGAAAGAGAGAGAGAGAGCGTTTATGGCTCAGGGCTGAGGTCAGCGTCGAGAGCATCTTTAGCACAGGTGGGGGGGGGCGGGGTTAATAGTGTTTATATCAAAGAGGGTGGACTGTGATCTGAGGGTGACATTGGAAGTGTGTATGGACTAGGAATGTGCATGTGGTTGAAGCAGCAGACTCTCTCTGCCAGACTGAAAACAGGGACGTCTTGAAAGTATTTAAGACTGACAGCGATGTGGCTTCAAAGCTCTTCTAGGTTTGGAGTTGGTCAGGAAGTGGGAAAAAGATACACTAAGGTGACATTACATTTTTTATAAATCAAAACTGAGATGCACACAACAAGATTTTCTTCTTAATCCTCTGAAATGTGTTGGATCACTTCAACAAGGAAATAGCTGTGTGTGAATCCTTTTAGTTTGTATGTGGTTAGATGGTGCAACTGAACCCTGTGGAGATGCTCTGCATGTGGGACCTTGTTGCTCACTGGTTGAGCGTGTCATTTTATAAACAACAGAAATATATCAATTGAGAAAAACCGCAGTTGTTTATTAACATAACAATTAAACTACAAAGGAGGGTAGAAGGCTTTCCCCCCCATCATGTTGTGACAGAGCAGGAGGATAAATCCATGAGTCCATATACTGGAAATGCTTCTTCAGCATTTACAATAATGTTGTATGCGTGAAATGGATTCTAGGGTTTATACCATTTTACAGACTCAAGAAACATGTGTATACATTTTCTTCGTATGGATACCAGAGCTGCAACAGTCTATAGACATTAATCACTAAAGAGCTTTCACTCTTTTCTTACAGTTTATAGACTGAATATTAATCATTATTAAATGAATCTGAAGATTGATCCATATAAAATAATCATTAGTTTACAAAGTTTTAACTTTATAAATACTTTGAATACAGTTTTTAAATTCGGAGTGTCCAATACACCCTTTATTCAAAGATAATCATGTCTGGTTGAATATTGTTTTGATATCATCAATTATGAAACTCAGAATGTACCATCCCGCAGTAGCTGCAGTATTCACTGAGTTACGTATGTTTGAGCCAACCTCTCGTTTTTGTGCTGCCAAATCATTCCTTGTATTTTCACAGAAGAAAAGAGAAAATAATCTGAAAACAGATTCTTGCCTTTGTCTCTTTGCAGTGAAGTGGAATCACACAAAGGTATTGGGAGTGTACGGTGCATCTATAACACTCTTTCTAGGTACATCCTGAGGAGTTCTTGTGTAAATATCAAATGCAGCTACATTTTGCAGTACTGGCATGCTTAGCATGTGTTAACCACTCATTCAGAGGGAGAGGGCTGAAGGCAGAGATACTTTGATATTGTTGGTGTCATTACTGTATTGAGAAGCTGATGAATGTTCACTTTGAAGAAGTGCAAAATACGAGAGGATTTGTCTGTGATATTCCAATGACTATGAATCAGCTTGTAACGTCTGATTATATCTGTCGGTGCCATTGTTTCAGTACCATGTCTAATAACACTGGCCATTTCAGCAAGTACACTAATTACAGTTCAATAGTCCACAGTTGTGTTTTCATGTTATTAGTCTGTGAGTCCACTGAAAAATGTCGGCTGTAAAGTGGTTTGTTGATGACTCAGCATCTGAGTCGCATCTACTGTATACATCTAATCAGATACAGAAACATATATCGTGCCTTTTGTCTTGTTCAGGGAATACTAGAGCCTTAAATATGTTCTCACTCTATTTAAGATATCATGTAACAGTTGTCTTTTCAAATCAATTTAGTGGAGTGTGATTTAACCAAAGCCAAACCATCTTTGAATTGTTTTTAGTCTCTGAACACTTTTTTTCCCTTTTCTCTCCGAATGTCAATAGTAATGGACAAAATGTTTCTTCACTTCTAGTCTGATTATGCAAATAAATTCTGTTTTGCTATCAAAAATATTGTGCTTTATTTGCGATATGCTTTGTGCTCAACTTTACACTCAAGTTAATGGAAACACAAACATTATTCAAACTGATCAAATGGGAAAGACCTTTCTTTCATAAAGAATTTTTTTTTACCACAAGTTTTCTAGAATGTTTTTTTAAATATGCAAATAAGGCATTATCTCGTCAATTACATTACATTGCATTTAGCTGACGCTTTTATCCAAAGCGACTTACAATAAGTACATTCGACCAGGAAGATACAACCTTGAAGAAAACAGAATCATATAAGTACATCAGGTTTCATAGAGCCAAACATTTCAAGTGCTACTCAACTGGCTTTAGGTAATCCAGTCCTTTATTAGTATATAAGTGCTCTGTTAGCAGTTCTTTGTTAGTAATTCTATCAAATATGTGCTCATTTGACTAAGAATAATAAAGTAAAATAATCCCAAATGTGTGTTTTGGATATTTTGTTCCACTACAATTAAATAACGTGTATTATGGACGACCAAAACAATCTAAAAATTACCACAGAATGAAAAATGTTGCCTTTAGTTTCTCGCTATAAATGTAGAAACCTTGATAGAAACCTGTAAAATCAGAACGTAAACCAGCTGTTTTTGTTGAAAAACGACAGACACCATAAAATATCCCTATATTTATAACGGCAATACATACACTGTACCAGGTGGTGACAGTAATGCATCATTGTTGTTTGCCAACCGCAATAAAACACAGAGAAGAAGAATAAACGGAGCGAACTCCTGCTGTGATTGGACAAAAAATCACGTGGTTAATACGTCATACCCAGAAGAATGACATGTTTGTTTATCGTTGCTAACATTCAGGTAAGAGGAGCTCATTTGTAAAGTAAGGATGATAAAATGTTAACTTATTCTCTGCTAAAGCACGTTATGTCTATTTCTATAAATCAAATAAAGATTAAGGTCATGCTAGTGTCAAACTGTAGCCGCAGCCGTGCCTCTATCACTGTATCTTTATTTAAACATCAACAACAGCAATCTTGCCGGTACATCTGTTATAGTTTGAGCTTCTATTTAATATATTAAATATTTTAGTAAGTGTTTTAGTTTAACTTCGGCTCTTTCTTCTTGCTCAAACATTAAACTTAATAGTTAACCATTGTAGTTTTTGTTTCATGAATGTCGGTCTGTTTCTTAAATGTCTTTTAGTAAATATGTTCATGTTAAATTATGTCACACATTTTGTCAAATCCTTTTGTGTCTGTTATTGAACTTTGTGCTTGCCATTCAGTAGGTTCTGGCTATTTTCACACAATTAAAGACTTCAGTGTGAATGAAAAGTAATGTCAATCTCATAAAATATGAAATAAATAAATAATGACATAAAAAAAACCTTCAATATAGCTTAATCAGCGGCAACGGGAAATATAAATGTAACGAAACACTCTGAGGAATTGATTATAAATGACTAATTATTCAAATGTGTTAAAGAATTTTATAGTGAAATAAACTAACTAAAAGTATAAGACTTGTGTTTTTTAAAGGTTTATTAGTACATAAATGTATTATGTAGGCCTACTAATAAACCTTTAAAAAACACAACAAGTCTACAATCCATTAGTTAACAGGTATTGATATAGCAACATTTCACTTTCACAAGTTCGGCCAAACTCTCAACCCTAAATGTTAAATATCAGCCTTGGTTTTCATGTTTTTGACAATTGAATATGCCAGAAAAAGAAGTTGTCTTGAACCTTCAGTATCCGTCCGTCTGCAGGTATCTTAATGCAAAGAGGACAAACGTTGGTGGGACCAAGATGGCATCGTACTTTGATGAACACAACTGTGAGCCCACCAACCCCGAGGAGCAGTATCGCCAGAATGCACTGCTTGAATTGGCCAGGTGAGAAAGTGTGTGTGTGTGTGGTGTACAGTGTACAGTGTACAGTGTTGAGATTGAGTGTTGGTCTGTGTGCAGGTCCTTGATGCAGGGCTTGGACTTATTTGACTCCGGAGCGTTCGACTTGTCGGACTGGGACCAGCGTCTTCCTCCTCCGGCGGCCAAAACTGCTGTTCAGACGCTCACTGTGGTCATCATCTCTCTAGAGCAAGCAGGTGACACACTTTTGCTCCAGTAGAAGGAAATGGATGGTTAACGTTTTGAAAGTACGCTTGTATGAGGTACCTATCCATATTTAGTGTATTACCTAGACAGTGGCGTTTCTAGGTGTACAAAACTGGGGGGGCAGAAAGAGGTCGGGGGAGAGAGAGAGAGAGAGAGAGAGAGAGAGAGGGGGGACAGAGAGAGGGGGGGGAGGAGAGAGAGAGGGGGAGTGTCAAATTACATACTGAAGACCACAGGAGCAACACTGTGAGCGCATACATTTACGTACACAGCGTGGGGATATCATAGTAATGCACCTTCATACATGGAATAAAGGTCACCATCACAAAGTAATTCTTAACAATAACAACAACCGTAATGCTTTAGCATTAAAACACCATAGACTGTAAATATAAGGAAAACACAGACACTCATCATCGAGGTCACAATATCAATCGATCCAGCAGAGGCAAAACACAGAAGATCAACAAAATATATGACATAAATGAACTTACCAAAGCTGAAGGCTCACTTGAAAAGAAAAGCGGCACGGCGGTCCTTCCTCTGACAGAATGTGTCTATCACTTTGGGGATGAAGTCCTGTAGTTGCTGGATCAACTGGCTTTCAATTGAAAGCATGGCCAATGCGTTAAGTCGCGGCTGTCCCATGGTGTTGCGAGTGAAAGTCTTTATCCTTTTGAGGGTGGAAAAGTTCCTCTCTGACTCGGATGTCGTCATCGGAGTTGTCACTATTATTTTGACCAAAATAACAGTCTCAGCAAACGTTTCCTCCAAGTTGTTCTCGTGAATGGATTTCAACAGAGACAGGGCAGTGTTTCCAGTGTGAAGCTCACTGTGGCGGTAGAGCGTGGTCAGCTCAGACTTCAACTTCTCCTTGTTTCCCAACGCAGGCCACAGTTTGACGGCGCAGTCAAGCTCATGTGTAGGAAATGACAGGACATGCTGTGGGAAGAATGAGCTGTCAACAAGCTTTGCAGCGATCAAATGGTCACTCTGTGAGAACCTCTGTTCCACCTGTGAGATGACTGTGTCACAAGCCTCCTTCATCACCGGCGCTGTGCTGCTGACTCGTCGGCCTGGCTCGTCTGTTCCATCATGAGCAGTGGCGGCCAATGCATCAGTTTTCTGCCTCATTTTCTGAACATTTTCCTTGAAACGGCAGAGCGCGCTGTTGATCCCAGGTGCATCGATGCTTCGTTTTTGCAGAGTGTTGTATAGAACATCCACTTCTGGCATAAGCAACGAAAAAAACTCCAGGAGCTGCATAAATGCTCGGTCCCGCAGTTTCTTTGACAGGCCGTATGCCTCACTTATGGTGACAGCATCCCATCCTGGTTGTGCGCGTATATGCTTCATACACTGAAGTAGTGCATCTCGGGTCTCCCAAACCGCGTTCACAGTTCTGCTTTTAAAGTTCCATCTCACAGCCGGTGGCCGTGGGATGCGTCTCTGTGTTGCCTCTGCAAGAGCTGCAACACGTTTTGGAGCACCGGAGAAAAAAGTGGAAAAAGCAGTTAGATCTGCAAAAAACCCCTTCAGGATGCTCATCCTTGCTGAACACAGTTGCTGCAGGGTCAGGTTCAGTTGGTGGGCGTAGCAGTGAACAAACTGAGCGTTTGGGTACGTCTCCTTCATCACCGTCTGTACCCCGCGCACGTTACCGCTCATGACGGCCGCCCCGTCATAGGTCTGAGCGATTAGCTTTTCTTTCAGCTTCAGGGGTTCCAGAACAGCCTTGATGCTGTTAGAGAGACCTACACCAGTTTTGTCCTTTACTTCCACAAACTCCAAAAAACGCTCTGTAACTGTGAGGTCAGGCATCATGTATCGCAGCACAATCACCATTTGCAATTTACAGGAGACATCGGTTGTCTCGTCGGCCTGAACGGCAACAAATGATGTGTTGTCCACTTGCTTGGCTATTTCCTCCCTGTACACATCATACATGCAGTCCAAGAGTTCATTCTGTATGGTGCTTGATGTCCCTTTGAAAACAAGCTGAGCTTCGTAGTGCCGTTGAAGCCTCACACATTGTCTCGAAAATTGACCTGAATATCCCTGGATTCAGAGAGTCCGCCGACTCGTTGTGGCCCCGCAGTGCTGTCTCACATTTCCCACACAGTTTAATACAGGTGATGATCCGACCAAGCACGTACCTGTTTTCTTCCACCTTCCTATTATGAGAATCAATGCCACGTCTGTAGGCGCTGTCAATCTGAGCTGCAACATTCACCCTTCCAAGTAATCCCAATTTTACGGCATTTTCCAAATGACTGTTGCTGCTCTCATGCTTCATTGTCCTCTCCGAAAGATGCTTTAAGTCCTTGTAACCTGTCCTCGACCAAGTACCTTGATCTTCACCAGTGCTGGAATTGGGCCGGTACTCACCGGTACGCAGTACCGGCACTTCTGGTTCTGACCCATGGAGTACCGGCACTTCTTGCTCAGTACCGGCATGCTGGCGGTACTCCGGTACTCATGCACCGTGCCAGTACTCAACACTCTCCCGCCGTTCTTATTATACATCCATATATATATATACAGCCGCCCGGTACTCAGTAGATGCGTCATGAGGTGCCGAACGGACATTCTCATCGCTCTAACCGCTGGAGTTTCACAGCGGCTGTCAGCTGTTTACTCCTGTCATTCAAACAGAACGTGCTGGAGAGGGGGCGGGGCTTATCTTCTCCATGTAAATACTGTGGTGGAAACGACTATGTCAAAATTAACCTATTTGACCGTGATTTAATAGTAATACACGTTTCAAAATAATAATAATAATAATAATGCCGAAGTAACAACATACTGAAAACTGTTAGTAAAACCATGTTTTAATGCTTTACAATTTACATACCTAGATGCACGTGTGTTGTGTTTATGCAGTGCAACTCCCACCCAGTG